AAAAAAGCTGTCCAACAATTAAAAAAAAAAAAAAAATAGTGAAGTAAAAGACAAAAAAAAAGAGAAGAAAAAGACAAATTAAAACTCTATTAGAGGTCTTTTTTTAGAGGTGTATATCATTTTTCAAAAGAAAAGCATAGGCACTGCCATCCCACATGATTTGTGTTGCTGACATTCCACGTCAAAGACATGGAATCAATTCATACAGTAAAATTTCTCTTTATTGCTAACTCTTTAACTTGAAATGCTTTGCACCAAGGATTTGTTTTTTTATTTGTTGATCCTTGGATTTGCTGATTTATGATAACTTTAAGACGGAAAAAAAAAGACCACAAACATGTTGTATGTGTGTTTGCCTACTAAATAAAAAATTACAAAATAAATGAAGTGTAATGTAACTCTCTAGCTCCATAGCTGGATTGAAAGCCAATAATAAGAAGAAAAAAAAAAGTGTGCCTTGTGTGTAAGAGAGAGGAGATGTGATTCCTCTCGTACTTTGAACTTTCTGTACTGTTGTTGAACATCACATTGTAATAAAATGACAACTCATGTCATGTCTTTATTATTATTATCGTTATTTTGGTCTTTTGAATGAATGAATTGTTTTCTTTGCTTACGTATATGTATAAATAAATTTCTGGAATAGGAAGTGCCCATACAATCTGAAATAATAGTTTGAGAAAGTGAGAGAGGATAGAGAGAGAGAGAGACAATATATTGTTTGTCTGTCAATAATGTATGTATTACAAAGAGAATGCACTCTCTTTATAGAGAGAATTATGGTGCATTGGATGCCCACCGAAAGCATAAAGAATAAAGTGCTAAAGTGATTAATAATTAAAGCTATTAACTGTTAGTGCATAATTGTATAATTGTTGATAGCTTTATGTTAGTGCATACTTGTATAATTGTTAATAGCTTTAATTATTAATCACTTTAGCACTTTATTCTTTATGCTTTCGGTGGGCATCCAATGCACCATAATTCTCTCTATAAAGAGAGTGCATTCTCTTTGTAATACATATACATTTTACAGACAAACCAATTCTTTCTCTCTGTCTCTCTCTCTCTCTCTCTCTATCCTCTCTCACTTTCTCAAACTATTATTTTCAGGGCGACCGGGTGGTCAATCAGTCAAGCTAATTTTGAACATTTTCCAGGACTCACGGAACATCCAGGGGACGTCTTTCGCGCCTATAAAATAAGAATTTATCAGGTATGAGGGAGGTATAGTGACTCTCTACAAATAGAGAGTCACTATAGCAATACATATATTTAGGGGGTTGGATAAGGGAACTGCTGGGGATGTGTTTTGACAGAAAGGAGGGAAGAGATGGGGATGCTCTTAGATTGGTAGTGTTCTACTTGCTGATTTATTTTATGGAAAATGCTAATAACAACCATCATTTGCCTTGATATGTGTGTAAAAATTGGGGCTGCTAATTTTGAAATCTAGAAGCTTGCTTTTTTCTGACTTTGATGCTATTGTCAGTTGGTTTAATTTTTTTATTTTCTACATGTTATAATTAACCCTTTTTTTTTTCTTTGTTACGCACATGTTTTCTTTTATTCTTTGTTTTTTTGTTTTTATCAATGATTGGGGCTTAGTTCCTTGGTTGACTGCTTTTTTGTGTCTTTTTTTCTCTGCCGTGCATGCAAATATGTACTAGCAGGCAGCAGCTGTGTTAGCCAAAGGCCCAAGTTCAATTGTGGTTATATGTGTAGTGACTTTGTTTTGCTGTTATCTTTTCTTTCTTTCATATTTATGAATTTATTCTAAATAGATAAACAATATTACTGAATGTGTTCGGCCTTTTCCTTATTTTTTATTTTTGTAAAAAAATGTTTTCTTCTCAGCCTTTCCTGTTCAGAATGGGTAAGGAGAAGGTTCACATCAACATTGTTGTCATCGGTCATGTCGACTCCGGCAAGTCGACCACCACTGGTCACCTCATCTACAAGCTCGGAGGTATTGACAAGCGTGTTATCGAGAGATTCGAGAAGGAAGCTGCTGAGATGAACAAGCGGTCATTCAAGTATGCCTGGGTGTTGGACAAGCTTAAGGCTGAGCGTGAACGTGGTATCACCATTGACATTGCTTTGTGGAAGTTTGAGACTACCAAGTACTACTGCACTGTCATTGATGCTCCTGGACATCGTGATTTCATCAAGAACATGATCACTGGTACCTCACAGGCTGACTGCGCTGTTCTTATTATTGATTCCACTACTGGTGGCTTTGAAGCTGGTATATCAAAGGATGGTCAAACTCGTGAACATGCTTTGCTTGCTTTCACTCTTGGTGTCAAGCAAATGATCTGCTGCTGCAATAAGGTAAGCTTCTGAGTTTGATGCTATTAGATATATAGTTTTGTTCTGCTTGAGCAGTTTTGGTTGCGCAAGGTTGTGTTTGGAATTTACATGTTTCTTTCCTTGATTTATTTTTGTATAGATGGATGCTACCACTCCAAAATATTCCAAGGCAAGGTATGATGAAATCGTCAAGGAAGTTTCTTCTTATCTGAAGAAGGTGGGATACAACCCTGACAAGATCCCATTTGTTCCCATCTCTGGTTTTGAAGGAGACAACATGATTGAGAGATCAACAAACCTCGACTGGTACAAGGGTCCAACCCTCCTCGATGCTCTTGACATGATCTCGGAGCCCAAGAGGCCCACAGACAAGCCACTCCGTCTCCCACTTCAGGATGTCTACAAGATTGGTGGTATTGGAACTGTCCCAGTGGGACGTGTTGAGACTGGTGTTCTCAAGCCTGGTATGGTTGTGACCTTTGGGCCTACTGGACTGACAACTGAAGTTAAGTCTGTGGAGATGCACCATGAAGCTCTTCTGGAGGCCCTGCCTGGTGACAATGTTGGCTTCAATGTCAAGAATGTTGCTGTGAAGGATCTGAAGCGTGGATTTGTGGCTTCAAACTCAAAGGACGATCCTGCCAAGGAGGCTGCTAACTTCACCTCTCAAGTCATCATCATGAACCACCCTGGACAAATTGGAAACGGTTATGCCCCTGTTCTTGACTGTCACACCTCCCATATTGCTGTCAAGTTTGCTGAACTGGTGACCAAGATTGACAGGCGATCTGGCAAGGAGCTTGAGAAGGAACCCAAGTTCTTGAAAAATGGTGATGCGGGTTTTGTGAAGATGATCCCCTCCAAGCCCATGGTGGTCGAGACCTTCTCTGAATACCCACCTCTTGGACGTTTTGCTGTTAGGGACATGAGGCAGACTGTGGCTGTTGGTGTTATCAAAAGTGTCGAGAAGAAGGATCCTACTGGAGCCAAGGTCACCAAGGCTGCAGCAAAGAAGGGTGCCAAGTGAACCATGCGGGTTTGGATTACTGTATATGGAGTTTACTATCATAAAAATAAAGAGGGTAAAAAAAACTCAGTATTTGTTAGGCCTGCTATGGTAGGTCGGTTGTTTGGTTTTGTATGTTATAGTTTTCTGCCTTGTTTGTTGGGTAGCCATTACCAGAACTGGGTGCTTGACAGGCGGTGGCAGATCCTATAGCATGAGTGTCTCAGTTACTTTTGGTTTGAGAATCTCTGTTATTGTTTTTATTCTTGTGTTTATAGGGTTTTGGTTTGAGATGCTTCATGTTTTCTCAAGCATCTCAAAGAGTTTTGTGCCTGTGTCTTTGCGGATCATATAAATTAATTTTCTGGTTTTTGTAATTTTTTTTTTTTTAGTTTTTTGTTGTTCTCCTTGCATTTATGTGAACGCTTTTTTGACTTTGACATTAGATGAAATTGTTTGGGTGAAGTTTTATGATATCAAGATCTGTTTGTTTTGACGGAAATTGACTTTACACCCAAAAAAAAAAAATTTGTTTTTGTTTTTGTTTTGATCATTTGGTAGACACTTTAAACAAAAATATTTTATTACTTAAAAGAAAAATTTTGATTCAATAAAATGTATGACTTTTAAGTGAGTTCAAAAATTTATTTAGATGGTTAAATGTGTTGAAAAGGTGACGAGTGATAATCAACTCTATAGAAATTAATTTATGAAATTTTAAAAAAAAAAGTAGTCATTTTTGAAAAAATATTGTAAAAATATTTTTCATACTTTTTGTTCAACCAAATAACAAAAAATAAGTAAAATATTTTTAACAAAAATATTTTTTTGTCAGAACAAACAAAACTAAGTTAAAATCTTGATCCTCACTTTAAGGTCTCCTATTGACCTAGAGCAGAAAGTTGCCGACTCTGTTATGGCTAGCAGAGTTCATTTTCAACTTAGGGTTGATTACAGTGATGCATTTGATGTAGCCTCATGGAGGACTCGATCCTTGTACAATTCGACGTGCCTTTTCTCTCCTTGAATATCACAAATTGTGCAACCTAACAACAATCTAACCCTGACCGATCATGATGACAGTCACAATTTTCGGTATTCTCTTCAGTTCGCTGTTGAATTAATGTATTTATGGCAGTATGTTTATTGGTCCACGCGAGTGACAGTTTACCGTTTCTTTTGTGATTTGTTCCTGTGCTTGAGAAAGCAAGAGAGGGAAAGGTTGCATTTGGAGGGAAAAGAGGGGGCAGAGCGGGAGCAGTTGCACTCTATCTCTCAATCCATCCGGATCCTCCTTTGGGTTACCAAGTAAATTCAAGTAGCGTAAATGACAATGAAGCAAGAGCAAGCCAACACGCTCAAACATGAACCGTTAGTTGCTGAACTAGTTGCTAGTTGCATCTCGTGCCGAGTCACAAACGAGCAGGTAGCGAAGTGCAGATCTCTTGTGAGTCGACCCACAAACGGGCAGGCAGTGGAGTTAAGGTCAACACAGGCCACATAATTGCACTAGGTTGGGCTGTCAGTTCGAAAGATCAAATTACCTTTGAAGGCTTATCTTTGCAGGACCACATTGGAATCTGAAACAGGGAGCTCCAAACAAATTCCATGAGGGAAAGTGCAGAGTAGGAAAGGAGCCAAGGGTCAAGAAGGGGAGCTTGTCGGCCCTGATTAGACGGCACCACCTTTCCCTGTGCTAAATTTGCAAGAGAGTTGTACCCTAATTCTAAATCCTGGTACACTGTTTACTTCTTGTTGTTCAACTATCTGGGAGAACAAACTAAAGCGACATTAAGTTTTTTTAATCATGCTGTTTTTCCACCAGCATTCTGAATCATAACAATCTGAGAGGGCTGATGGGGTTGCAATAGTGTCATCATAACATTAGTGCATAACATTGACAATCTCAAAATGTTCATTGCAAAATAAATTTGATATGCATATAAAAACACCTACAAGCTTAGATCTGTTTATGTGGCATCTCTCTGTTCAAACATCCGGTAGTAAAACAAAAAATAATTGAACACCGTTAAAGTATCTGCCAAAACTTCATAACAACATGGGGATGTAGCTTTCATTGCTTTCCTGCTTTCATTGTTAATGGCTGACGGTCGTTCAGCCTCCATGACGAGAACCAAGACTGCACAGATCATCATCAATTTGAACGTGAAGTCACGTACTGCTGGAACTTTTAAGGAGTCAATATAAAGATATTTTATCTATCAAATGACCAATGTTATAAACCTTCTTTTTTTTTTGGCAAAGAAAATTTCTGACAGAAATAAAAATAAACTCCATGTAGTGCAACTCATTCATTCCCTAGAAAGACTTCCTTCTGATGTACAAAAAGAAACCAGAGCCAAACATAACTTCTTTATTTACCTGACAGACTATCATAACTCTTTCTCACTCTCAAGCTGCGCTTTTGTTGCTGCCTTTTCTGCTTCTTCTAAAACAAATGTTTTTAGCGACTCCACATCCCTAGGCCCTGGTTACATGCCAGTTTAACAAAATCATGATCAGATCTAGTAAGCAAAGGAATTATAGAAATTGAGTGATACAAAGCAACTTATTCTGAAGAAACTTTGCATGGAAGTGTCAACTGTCGAAAAATGTGCCTGGCAGCAGATTAATGCCCTTGTTTCTTGGCTTTACAGAAATATGAAATATAAAAAACAAAGTCTAAATTTTCTAGAAAATCGTTCATTACTTTTATTTCTGATGTGCACAAGTATGGAAGACAATGAAGTGATTTGTGAAGCTAAATTTCGATAGAACAGAACTCCACCGTTAGAATTTGGGTCCAACTATGGTACCCAAATTTGGGTACCATACCTAAAAATGATTTTCAACCATGAGATGAGGATCTTGAATCTTGAGCATTCAAAGATAAAAGAGGTAACCAGTTACAACCGGTGAAGCAAAATTCTCCTCCCTCTCCTGTCACTACAGTTCGTCTCCTCCTTCCCTCCGAATATCTAGATTTCATGGTTTGCTCTCCCTCCCTTTGATTCATTCTCTGTATTTCTAGGGAAACCCTATGATGTGCACCCCTTTAGAGGTGCATACCATATGCACCCTACCACAAAAATGTGCAGCTTTACTACAAAATTTCGTAACATCAACCACAAAATACATAACCTAGCCACAAATTGGCGTAACAAAATGTCCAAAATTTTATGGTTGATGTTGCAAAAGTTTGTGGTTTGATTACGGCATTTTTTGTTGTACCAATTTGTAGCGAGATTACGTATTTTGTGGTTGATATTACAAAATTTTGTGGTAAAGTTACGCATTTTGTGGTAGGGTGCATATGGTATGCATCCCTAAAGGGGTGCACACCATAGCATTTCCCGTATTTCTATGGCGGTCGGTCCTTCCTCTCTCTCTCATTTTGTATTTAGAAACGATCTAACTCTCTCATCTCAGCCACACTCATCTTATCTACATGTTGTTTCTTAGTTGCCCAACACTCCGTCCCATACAACATAGCTGGTCTAATAGCCGTTCTATAAAACTTACCTTTTAGTCTAGTGGGTATTCGTTTATCGCACAATATCCCAGACGTACTTCTCCACATACACCATCCCGTCTTAATCCTATGGGCCACATCTGCATCAATCTCTCCCGCTGTTGTGATAATCGACCCTAGATAACGAAAGTGTTCACTCTTAGGCAATTCTTGGTTCTCAATCTTCACTTCTCCCCTGCTTTCATTGTTACTGTTACTAAATTTACACTCCATGTATTCTGTCTTAGTTCTGCTTATCCGGAATCCTTTAGATTCAAGAGCTTTTCTCCAAATCTCTAACTTTGTGTTAACTCCTTCTCTAGTCTCATCCACTAGCACAATATCGTCTGCAAAAAGCATGCACCATGGCACGTTATCCTGAATATTTATCGTCAACTCGTCCATAACTAAAGCAAAAAGATAAGGACTTAAGGTAGTTCCTTGCTTTAACCCTACAGTGATAGGAAATTCATTTGTCTCTCCAGCTGGCGATCTAATAGTGGTCACCACCCCTTCATACATGTCCCTAATCACGTCAATATAACCTTTTGTCACCCCTTTCTTCTCCAATACCCACCATATTATATCCCGAGACACTCTGTCATATGCTTTTTCAAGGTCGATAAACACCATATGAATGTCTCTTTTCTTTTCTTTATACTTTTCTATTACTCTCCTCAAAAGATAGATCGCTTCCATTGTTGACCTACAAGGCATAAACCCAAATTGATTCTCTGACACCTCTGTTATATCTCGCAATCGGCGTTCCAGCTACAACCGGTGAAGCAAAATTCTCCTCCCTCTCCTGTCACTACAGTTCGTCTCCTCCTTCCCTCTAAATATCTAGATTTCATGGTTTGCTCTCCCTCCTTTTGATTCATTCTCTATATTTCTAGGGAAATCGTATGATGTGCACCCCTTTAGAGGTGCATACCATATGCACCCTACCACAAAAATGTGCAACTTTACTACAAAATTTCGTAATATCAACCACTAAATACATAACCTAGCCACAAATTGGTGTAACAAAATGTCCAAAATTTTGTGATTGATGTTGCAAAAATTTGTGGTTTGATTACGGCATTTTTTGCTGTACCAATTTGTGGCAAGATTATGCATTTTGTGGTTGATATTACAAAATTTTGTGGTAAAATTACGCATTTTATGGTAGGGTGCATATGGTATGCATCCCTAAAGGGGTGCACACCATAGCATTTCCCGCATTTCTATGGTGGTCGGCCCTTCCTCTCCCTCTCATTTTGTATTTAGAAACGATCTAACTCTCTTTGTAATTTCAATTTGAAGTCTATAATAAAGATATGTGATCAAACTTTAATAGCAAACATTTATTGGAGCAAGAAGCACTAGCTTTGACAATAAAGGTGCTGAAGTAATTTATTTGCCAAGAGAGTTGGAGGAAAAGGAGAAATGATTAAACCAAAGGAATCATGCTATGAGATATCTGAACTCTAATGAAAATAAACAATCAAAAAGTAGTAGAAGGGACAGTAATGCTACTAGAGTGGTGCTAGAGCATCTCCAATCCTTCACATTTTCTTTCATCAAATTAGAAAGTGCTCAAAAATTATCTCAAATCATTTCCTCAAATGTTCATGAAATCTAGGGAGAGTTATTTTTTTTCATCATATTGAGAACTCATCAAATCCTTCATCTAAAAAGATGAAGCATTGGAGATGATTTTTTTTCACCAAATTTGATGAAAAGGGAAATTTGGGATAAGAGAGGAACTTTTAAAAAGATTTTGATGAAAATTTAATACAAAGATTGGAATAGTTCATATCAAATCAAACTTTTTACTCAAATTTAGATTCATATTAGAAGGGAAAAAAAATGGTGAAGGGTTGGAGATGCTCTTACAATGACCATATTATCTTACTACATTGTGCTTACCATGTAATGTATCAACATTACATTGGTTAAGTGGGTCACACCACTCACGTTTATTACCAATGCAATAGTGATACATCACATAGTAAGCAAAATGTGATAAGATAATGTGGTCATTGTAGCATTATTGATGCTACTAACTTTACTGCTAATGCTGCATATTTGCGGTTTGTCGTGTCAAGGAAGTTGGTAATATTGGTCGCAATGTGTCAGTGAAAAACAAGGAGGCTCAACATTGTATGGTAAGGTGAAGTTAAGTGGTAAGGAACATGTGGTGGCAACACACTGAGTAGTAAGTTTTATCACAATATTCGTAAGTTCGCTGATAATGGACAGCAAGTTTTTTTACTACTTGATGAAAAACTATTTATCACTTCGTAAAATCAACTTTCAATACATACGAATAAACTTGCAGTTAATAGAAGGGTCACAATGAGAAGCAATTAACATAGTGAGAAAGTAAGAAGGGACACAGGTGTGGAAAGTAAGGGTTGGTTTGGGATGTTCTAAAAAAGTGCACTTTTTGACTTATTGGTGGGTTTGGGTTGAGTTTGGGTTGGGTTTGATGTGATGTGTTAGAGAAGTGATGTGATTTAAATAAGATGATGTGACTTAAATAAGATAGTGACTTTTTGACTTTTTGACTTATTTAGTACATGCCAAACTAGCCCTAAGTCACAGTAAGAAGCAAAAATGGTCACAGGTGGACCCAAGTGCAGGCTAGGGGGGGCTGTGGCTCCTGCTAAGATCAAAAGAATTCCATTAGGTTGTAGTGTTTTGGGCTCCTGACATGCAAATTGCAATAGGATGGTCCCTCCAAAAAAGCAGTTTCAGGTTTCATATACCCCCATATTCTAATGGTTTTTAAGCTTGATATGGTTATGAGGCCACCTAAATATTAAAGTGCTATAAAACTAGCAGTTTTTTGTTATGATCTATAGTTGTGTTTAGTTACGAGTTATTATGGTTGTTTCTAGCAAAGAATTTAGAGACACTTGGTTATAGTGAAGTTTGGTCACAATATTAATAAGTTTGTTTACGAGTGCAAGGCTTTTTACTACCAAATGTGTTCCAACTTACCACTCAATTACAAACTACTTACCACTCAATAAGAGCAAACTTATAATAAATACCAACCATTTGTCATTTTAATCAAAACAAACAGTCCCAATAAACCTTTTAGCCACTTTAATAAAATTAAATGGTTTAAAATAATCAGTCTATCATTTTAATCAATCAAATTATCCAAACCCGTTTTGTCATTTTAATCAAATCAAATTATCCAAATTACCTATTTATCAACTTCATCGAAATCAAATGATCGGGTTTGGCTGAGTCAAAATGGGTTGTGCATTAAAACAACCGAAGTCAAACCTGCTCATTTAAAGGGATTTAAGCGGGTTGGGTTAAATTGGGTATGGGAGGTGGTGGTGGTGGTGGTGATGATGGTTTGGTTGAACAGGGTGCGGAGGTGGAGATGGTGGTGATGGAGGTAGAGGTTGGGGGAATTGGATACGGGAAGTGATGGAAATGGACGTTTTGGTAGGGTGGTGGAGTAATGGAGGAGGAGGAGGACAAGGATATTTCATTTGTCGTAAGTGTTAAAATTGATGTATTATTGATTGATATATTGATATATTACAATGATTCCTATATATAGAAGAGAGGATGTGGGAAGAGAATAGGTGAGTGTGTAGTAGGTATGGAGTAAGTGAGGAGTAGGTGGAGAGTAGGTGAAGTAGGTGAGTGTGTAGTAGGTGGTAGTGGTAGTGGTAGGTGTGTAGTAGGTGAATTTTAGCAGCCCCCCGCAAACTCAAGGGGGATAGGAACTAACCAACTTGAGTTTGGAGAGAGTAACAAAACAAGAAAATACATAAAAATAAAAGAGGATAAGAGACACTGTATGGTCGTGTCAGACCATTGGTGAAGACACTGGATGGTGGTGTCATAACGTTGTAGAGGACACTGCTATTAAAATATGTGATTATTATTCAAAATAACAGTTTTATTGATTTAAGTCTAAATATTTCATATTTGTCAGACATATTTAACATCTAAATGTGTAGATATATGTTTTTAAGTAATTTAGAAAAAGTGGCCGAATCTTTACGATACATGAT